GTTAGTTTGCTGTTGAGATCTATTATAAATTTTTAGTTGCTAACACATATTTTTAAAAGCAAAACAAAAAACAAATAATGTATTTATCTTAAACATGTACAAATTTTTAGAATATATATTTATTTAATTTTTTAGATTTTAATATATTTAAGATATAGAAGATTTTTGGAATAATTTTTTAAGTTTGAAAATTTTCAAATGTGTTTGGCAATTGGAATTAGGATAACATTTAAAAATAATTGTGTTTGGCAATGAGTATAACCAAATTAAATAAATCAAAAATTAAAAAATTAAAAAAAATTGTGGTGATGACACATCATAAAAAAAAAATGGTCAAAAATGTTTCGTATATAACTTAATATACCTTTGTTCTACCTATGTATATAATGACACTATGGAGGTCTACAACTCGTAAATTAATATACCTTTGTTCGTATGTAAAATTGTATGTATGTAGGGTACGTTTATGCATAACATGTTGATATATTATCTTATACACGCATGACAATATACCTATGTAACAAAGTGATGATGGTCTAATAATAATAAAAAATTAGGAAAATTCTCAAAAGAATTTGCTATGAGTTCGATTTCTAATGATAATACTTTTAGCAAAAAATAATTGAAATATCGAACACTTTTTCATCCAACTTATTTACTATAGACCAAAAATGCCCACTTGTAACTATTTTGACTTGTTGTTATGTAAGGTAACGTTAATTATACGGCTACGATACTCAAAGGAGATTGGTGGATTCCAAACAATCTGTTCAGTTTGACCAAAAACCTCTCTGTTATTTTCCAGCAAGTGTCGTCTCAAATCTGTTCAGTTTGATGCTTGTGTGTTGCTCTTTCTTTTGGGTGTTCGTCTCGTGATACGTCAACTGACGATAAGCCGTAGGTCTTATCTTATCATAAGTGAGAGAGGCAACGAGAATATGATAGAGATAAGAAGTGGCTTTTAGAACAACTTTAAGGACATTTTCATATCCCAAACCCAAAGGCTTCTTCTTTAAGAGATCAAGTCCCATTTCAACCACACATACCTCAATCCCATACCTTACGTGGCTTTTCGTAAATCC